GAATCACAGGGCAGGGAGATGCGATCACCCAGAAAACCACGTTCCTCCCAGAAAAGCAACATTTAAGGGGTAGCTAACGCTTGCACCAGTCAATATTTGTAGCTGCTCCTGGCCATGATGGAGGAGACACTTGGAAACAAGGCCCGGGATTGCTCTGGAGGTGACACTTTATTCCCGCTCGCTGCCTTTCCTGGAGAGCAAACGAGCTGCCAGCGGCAGCTGTGCCCAGCACAGCTGGGAGCCTTCCTGGGAACGCGGCCGGGAGCCTCCTGGGAACGCGGCCTTTTCCTCGAGCCTCCAGGGAAGCCGAGCAGCAGAAAGCCGGGATTGCAAAAGCCGGCAGCGCCTCACAGGCAGCTTCGCCCCGCGCGCCGCAGCGGGGACCCGTCACGTGGCTCGGCACACGCACGCTTGTACTTTTAAGGCTTTGCTGCCTTGGGAGCGCCCTCCTGGCTCCCTCTTCCCTTCCCATTTGGCAGGAAAGTCCAACGGGGAGTTACCTGGGGCCTCCGCTCACCTCCACGGCACCTTCGCCCAAAAAATCGCCTTTTATGGAAGAAAAATGAATCGCCTGCCCAGGCGCCGAGTGCCTCCGAGCCCAGATGACAGACGGAAACTTGCCATTTGTTGTGGTTTTGGCAGCGCTGCGGCGGAGCGTGTTCCCATGCGCACCGCGCGGTTAGGAAGGGCGCAAAGGCAGCGAGCGGGAGGAGAGGGCTGGCGGAGCCGGGCTTCCCGCCCGGGATCACACGGAGCATCACGGCGGCTTCGGGATTGCTCTGTTGGATGAGACGAGCTGCAAATGGGCCCGTGGATAGGGCCCTGTATGAGCATGAGGGCTCCATCCCCAAGCTCCGCCAGGACACGATCTTCCACCCTGCATTTCCGTTTCCTTCTCATCCCAACAAACCCTAAGCCACACTCACATAGATACAGGATGGAAATTTAATCTTGGATTTGGGTGCCAAGTTTAGTGCCATCAAAAACAAGTGACAGGGGTTTGTCAAAGGCAGCCGCTGTCCTCGGCTCTGCACGACAGCAGAGAGGTAAGCGCTAAGTGACAACCACATCCAAATAAATATGCCTAAGGAAAAGCATAAGGGAAAAAATAGGGATAAGAACTGCCGCACAGAGACGGGACCACAAGACCTTCAAAATGTTTGCACTGCTGTCAGGAAGCTGACTGAGACACTTCAGCAGCTGGGAAAACATGTTGCAAAACAAGGAGAATTAAGTAATTCTCCATACGCACAGCCTGCACCGAGACGTTCTGTTGGAGCTCAGTTTCTGCAGCCAGACTGATTTTCTCGCTCCCCCGGTGTCGCGCACACCCTGCCAGGTCTCCATGCAGCTTCCGCCCGGCACCGCGGAGCGCTGGGTGTTCGGGAAGGGCAGCTCCCGCCTGGCACCCTGCGACGCACGGGAGGGCACCCTCGGAGGGATTATGGCACCCTCGGAGGGATTATGGCACCCTCGGAGGGATTATGGCACCCTAAGCACATGCGTTGCCACTGCTGGCTATTTGATTACACAAATGTTTCCCTTGCACCCTATAAAACACTCGTAACTGGATCATAGGTGGCTGGGGCTGCCTCATTACCCTGCTCTGACCCAGGCGCAGCTGCTCGCTCCATTGCCAGGTACACTCATCACACGGGCCTTGCAGAACGACCCATTAGCTGCTTTTATAACTTTAAATATGTCATGCGACAATTTGTCGTTCTAGCAAGAAAGGCCACTTGTATTGAAGTTGCTGCTAACTATCCAACACAGTTTATTCATTTATGTCCTGGATGCCGTGTTAGCACCCTGCTAAGAGCCGTGTTCAGACACAACTTAGCAGGCAGAGCTCCATGCAAGCTTATATCTGTTCATCCTTCACAAGAAAATGAAGGTTAAAAGCAGCTGGGTGCATCTGTTCACAGCCAGCACCTTGAAACCCATCCTAAGTAATTCCAGCAGCCCCAAAAAGTCCCCTAAAACACCACCTCTTAGTCCTGCAAATTAAAAGTACACACAAGGACTGCTTTGGCCATCCTTGAGATGAAAAGGCAACGCAGCAAAGGGTTTAATCCCCCTCACACAGGCACATCAGAGCTCATTTTTCCAGCACAACAGCTCCGATGCCCAGCAGGCATCCTCCTTCCCGACGGCAGCCTCATTAGCGGGATGCACAATGTGGTTCCCAACGAGAGCAGCGGCCGCCTCCTTGGCGCAGCGATCGCTTTTGCATCCAGCCTGCAGCCCAGCCCTGCAAGCTCCGCACTGCAGCCTGGTTTTTGGAAATGCAGGTGCCTGCGAGGTGGCTGCAGGTTGCAGCTGGGCTGCAAAAAGGGGTTTAGCTCCCCGGCACCTGGAGGGATCGCACGGCATCGGCTTGGTGCTGGATTCCCATGGAAACACCATGGCTTTCCCTCCTCCTTCCCTCCCTCCCTCGCAGCTGGGAGCCCTGCAGCGCTTTGTGCCCAGACTGCAAAGAGGGGAGCAGCGACCGCCACGGCCGCGAGCGGCCTCGGAACAAAAGCCGAGACTTTGTGCACGATACGGGATACAGGGAGGGGGGAGATGGAGTGGGAATGACTTCCTTTCCTGGGGGCAACAGCATTTCCCAGATACATGAAAGCACTCGCACAGTGTCTAGTCCTTAAGAAATCAATGCGTCTTTCATAGCTGTACCAGAATGGGTGGCTTTAGTGTGGGAAATCTTAGCGATGTGAGAAGATGCCGAGGCAAAACGCGCATCCTCAGGCATGAGGAATCCAAGCCCCGCTTCCACGCGGAGATCCGCGCCCGGACAGCGAGATGGAGCCGGCGAGCCGGCTGCCGGGAATGCTCCCGTGCCATGGGAGAGCAACCCATGAAACTTCGAGAGCCAGTGCCGGTCAGCTAAGCAAGAGCCCGTTCTCCTCCAGCACCCGCTCGGGTTGCAAATACCCAGGGAATGCCCCGGCGGGGTCGCTCCGACAACCTTTCCCTGGGGCTCACTGAGCTTCTCCTCCAGCCAGCACGAGCTGGTGACATTAAGATGCAGGGCCTGGCCACGCCACCGCAGTGCTGGCTGCTTCATGTGCTCTTCCTGCATCCTCAGCCTCCAAAAGGGTGACCGAAGCACCTACTGGGGCCCTGGGCAGTGCCAAGAGCTCCTCCTTTACCAGGCCCCATCCACACACGGGCAGAGCCAAAATCAAGGTTTCCTTCACACATTTGGCTCAAGCTCTCGGCAAGATTTACCAGGAGGCCAGGGGACACTGACAGGAGCTCTGGAAGAGGATCCAGGTAACGGAGCACTGGAATACGACAGGAGAACGTCCGCTGTCCCCGCGCACTGGAATACGAAAGGAGAACGTCCGCTGTCCCCGCGCTGAGCCTGGAGCTCGAGATGCACGTTCCGACCGAGCCCTTTCCGCGCTTCCCCTCGCTCTGGGTTCAGCTGTGCAAACACGGGAGCTCCCTGCAGGATCACTCATCACTGCCGTGGCTCTGCCGGAGGCACTGCTCGGAAAACCAAGGCGTCCTTCCCGGCCTTCCATGGAGCTCCCCCGGAGAGGAAGGGGCTAGATTAGCCCCTTCCTCCCTACGGGCAAACTGCCTGCAAGCCAGAACATTAACCAGAATGTTTCGATCTGAAAAGAAACCAGGTAGCAGGAATACAAAAGGCCGCTGCAGCTGCAAGAGGAGACACTGCCACATCCTGCTAGCTCAGTCTGTCATCCTAGGCTTCAAATCCTCAAGTCTTTTAGATTGCTAAAGAGCCCTAAGCGACTCAGCAGATTTTCAGCTAATGAATCAACACAAGCTGTCCAGGAAACCAGGAATCCAGCCCACTGGAATGCTGCAGCCACAGGGAGGGGGGCAAACAGCACCCAAGGAAGGAAACGAAGAGCAGAGGGAAGGAAACGTGCAGCACTGACCCTATTCCCACATTTACTGTGCCATGCTACACATTAAAATATATACATTTTTTTTTACACATTGAAGCATTCGCGTTGTTTAAGCCTAAATTCTGCTCTATGGTGCTGACACTTTGCAAACAGCTTTTTTTCCCCCCTCAAAAATGGGAAAGGAAAAAAGATCCATTTAAACCTGAACCAACAGTGCCACCTAACGGCACTCCAACCTCCTTGCTCCTGAAATCTGCAGCATCCAGAACTGGGAGTTTTCTCCCCGTAATGGTAGTGTTAGCAAAACATGGCTGGAGATTAAAGATCAAAACCAGAATTGTGCATCTTTCATAAATGGCTTTCCCTCACGGGATATTTTTTCATAACAGAACATAAATGGCATTACTAGCAACTTCAGTTTTTCCAGACAACAAAATTTGGTTTCTTATACACAGCTTTCCCAATACAGCCAAACAGTGGTATAGCTTCAAAATAAGAACCCAGCGCTTGGGCAGTTACATGCACACTGTCCACACATCCAAAAGGAATTTCTGTGATTAGCAGAAATCTCTGCCAGGGGATCAGCAGCTCTCAATATTGTGTGAGAGTTCGTCCTTGTGGCTAATGCTTTGCACGATGCCCCATATTACTGGTGCCAAGCACTGATACTACGTCAGCCTCTATGTGCTGTTACCAGATGCGAGCAGGGTTTAACACACATTCGAGAGGCTGCGAAACATTTCTGCAAGAAAAACAAACCTGTAGAAGCAGCAGCAGTCAAGCTTCCCCATTCTGCTCAGCCCTTGGACCTGATGATTCTCATGCCATGGCTGTCAGCAAACTTGAAAAGCACAAAGATCTTCTGCCCTTCCAACGGGCACACTGAGTTCTCCAAACAAATTTTGTTCACTACCAGCCCAATCTGTATTCCAGTAGGGGCTTAAAAGGAAAATGCATCATGCCAGATTCTGCCAAGGACAGCAGTTGAGGTTTGCTCAGCTCATTCTCCAGAGTTTATTAGAAAACAGATTACAATTTGTTTCTGTGCCTCATATACCCTGCTCCCTGTTCACCTAAAGCACTTCTAAAGAGACCGAATGCTGAGGGGGACCCAATTACCTTTCTGCAGCGGGGATTAGGACAGCTGAACCGCTTCACATCGTTTTCCAGGAGAGCTGGGAAGTTACAGAAGGGACACCTGTAGCCCAGAAAAAGATGCTGTTAATTGGCTAAACAAACACAGGGCCAAACAAATCTTTGCAGAAAGGGGATTTAAACAATTATGTGGCTGTTAATAAGGCTGCCAGCCAAACGCCTGCCACAAGGATTTGCCGACTACTGTCTTTTTGCTTATATTTCTTCGATCACTTCCCTGTTTGCAATCAAAATAATATATGCTCAGCACTGCTTCTGACCATGTGATTTAAGGGATCAGCACGAGGCTGGCAAGTGATGGGGGGAAATCAGCCTTACTGAATTTTAATCTCCTCCTAGTCAATGGAGGACAAACCGTGCTAAACAACAACAGTCACAGGAAAGCAGAAGCCCTAAACTTAAAGGCAGCTCTATGACAGCTACCTGCCCCACAGTCAGCACATAGTTACGGTTCCGGAGGGCTATTTTCTAAAACAGAAAGTACAGGATTTCCTCTAGCTCATCCTTTCTGACTCATGTATCCTGCACTGCAGAATTACCTGACAAGCTCATCGGCACAGGCGGCAGCCACCTCCTCCTCAGCTTTCCGCTCGTAGTATTTACAGAGGATGTTCTCTGGAAGCACCTTCTCCAGCTCGCTGGTGGGGAACGAACACGTGCAGCTCCCTTCCATGCAGCTGAGCTCTGACTACAAATGGAAGAAGGGGAGAGCTCCATTTCAGTATGTTTTTAGTGACACACAAGACAAGTCAGCCTCCAGAACATTTCCAAACACAGTATCGCAGAGCTTTGCTTGAAGAGAGGAGAGCTTAAATCAACAGATGACTGACAGGGAAGAGAGCAGGGGCTTGCTATGCTATGAACAAGGCTAGTGAGTCAGCTAGATGAGGTCTCAGACAAGCACCCGTAGGAAGTTGATAGCTGGGATTACAGATCACCCGCTTCAAAGCCGCTGTGACCACAAAGCAGCCTGTTACCGCTGCACGTTCCCCACCGGGAGCTGGCACCACATCAGGAACCATATTCTGTTCTTGGCAGTACACTCATATTAAGCACAGCTGTCAGTTTATATGGTCACACGAAATACAGACCCTAGAGTACCCCCAAAAATTAACCCTGGGGTTCGATCATCATAACCCAAGGCAAACGAGCGTGCATACCTCACAGCAGATTAATAACTTTATAGCTCAGTTAAGTAGAAGGATAACTGCTAACTGCTGCTTCCTTACCATTTGGATCAACTCTGGAAAGCATGTCCTGCTAGTATCAGCATTTCTATACAAGATTGAGAAGGTTAGGAATCCTGTAGAGGAACTAACCCTCAAATTAGATTGGGATCACAAAGAATTTAAGGCCAAGCCTTTAGTTAGGAAAAAGACTGGCCAATTTCGCACTGGTTCTCTGTGCAGATAACATTGATTTATTAATGAGTAAATTAAAACCAAAACAAATACAACTTGTTACTATGAACATTATAAAAAAATTCCTAATAATCCATTAAAAGTTGTTAAGCACAGAGCAAGTTAGAGGCCAGGAAGACAGAAATCCTATTCAAAGATCCTCTTGTGAAGTTCTTTGCTATCCATTTGATGGTGAGGCAGACTCCTCAGATGTGGATTTTGTTCCACTCAAACACTTCCTGGGTAAAGTGCAGTTACATTTGGTCTCAGCGACAACACTCTGAACAGCAATGTGATCTTCCAACAGCAATCTGCCCCTTTTCCCCGTGTCCAGGTGGGAATCCTTACCTTCCCAGAGCCAAAGACTGCCTCCTGAGCGTATTTAATTAGGCACTCCTTGCAGAACAAGTGACCATCTGCACACTGCGTTAGCTCTTCAAAGGCGAACTCCCCATAGCAGCAACGGCACTCTATCATCTGACCATCCTGCAGCCATAAACAGACATATTAGCAACATCCCAAAAAATAGCTATAGCAACATACCAACAAACACTGCTGGAATGAAGAAAGAATGCTGTGATGTGGGTACGTACAACTGCAATCCATTTAAAAAGTCAGCATTAATTATAAGAGAAACCCAAGCTATGGACATACGTTATTCTGTAGATAATCTCTTTGGTGGTCGAAGCTCACCATGAGGGAGCAAACTCAGAAACCCAGTTTTAACTAATTTAACATCTTCATGTCCTCCGTAACACATTCCCTCCCTTCTCCTCCAACCCCCAAAGAACACTATGCTTGACTAATCCTTAGCTCACAGGCAGAACCCCTCATGGGTTAGAGGGCTGTACTTGCAAGGAAGCAGCAGAGGATATGCACAATTTCTAGAGGGAAAAAGGAAGATTCAAATCTATTGCCCTCTAAGGGAACATTTACCCATGTGCCTGGACAGGACACATCTAGAGTACTAGAGTACTTCACTGCAGAGGTAGAGAAGTTTGTTAAGAGTAAATACACTGACATCTGCACATCTAGAGTACTAGAGTGCACTGCAGAGCACACCACTGCAGAGGTAGAGAAATTTGTTAAGAGTAAATACACTGACATCTCCAAAGTCAGAGGAGAAATAGGCATCAGGAAAGGTAATCCACAGCTGAACGGACCTCTTTCTTCATTTAAAGGGAAATACTTTTTATTTATTTATTTATTTTTAAAAGAGTCCTTTTTGCAAATGAAAATGATCTTTCCCCTAGCAGTGCTCCAAAAATAGCCAATCTGTTTTAAACAGCCATAACGTGGTAGCAAGAGCAAAACTGATACAATTCTATGGCAGTGTTTGTTCTGGCCAGTAAAGATGCAGGCAGCAGCTGGCTGAATTACTACAGATCACTCCACACATCCATGCTGCCTTGCTGGACTCAGCTCTTATCCACCTTTGCTAAGAGGCAGCCAACACAGAGCGCAGGCTCTGCCCTCGGCACACGCAGCACAGGGCACACAGCCCTGCAGAAAATCAACTCTATTCCAGAGGAGTCTGCAAAGCAGTAAGTGCAAAACAGTGGCAATACCTAAGCTGAACTCCAGGAACCATACTGCCAATACTGACCTTCTGATACTGCTCCTCGTTCATCTGCAAAGCAAGGAGAAAGTCGGCGTGCTGGAAGAGACACATGCATGTGTATTTGTAGAATGCAGAATCCAGTTTTCCATCCCCTAAACACTTTTGCAATATCTCAAGATTTACAACCGACCGTGTTCTGCCCACAGCACCACTCAGCCCATCCTTCCAATCCATTAAACTATTTCTGATTCAGCTAAAACGGACTGTAGAAGCAAAGGCAGAAGAGCAAAGAACCACGTTCTGGGTTACAGAGAGTCATGAGTTCAGGTTTCTATGGGCAGGCAAGATCTCACTCAATGGGTCTCTCTAGAGAAAGCCCCAAGGGGAACACGAGCTTTGTGTTTAAAAAGAAACAGTCATCTGCTTAAGAGGCAGTGATCTTCAGGACACTACTCCAGAAAGGACTGTAGCTGCAGAGCTGTTAGTTTGATTTTCTGTTGGATTGTCAGGGGAAGAAGCCACCCCAGAAAGTGCTGCAAGGTTCTGCTTTGATGCATGCACCTCAACACGGGACAAGGAGTTTGAGACAGGACTGCCAGCTTTCAAAAGAAAAAAGAGTGGATGGTCTGCCTTGACTAAGTTGTTATTAAGCACCACCTCTGAGCTATAATTACAAGTCTAAAAGCAGAAAAGGAGACTGCTACTTATGGGAGGAAGTAATTCATTAATACAGCTTTTACTTTGTAGCAAAAAAAAAAAGTCCAGAAAGGTGTTTTATCACAGACTACAAATCAACATCAGCAGATATATGCAAGTTTTTCAGCAGCAGAAGTGACAGCTATATATTTAAGTAAATACAAAGTTCCTTGTGGCTTTTACCCCAAGTAATTCATTTTTGAAAAAGCCCTACATGCTAATAGCAAGTAAAGGTGCACAAAGCATCAGCTTTTCAACATTTTGTTCAGCATTTGACTTCCAAAAGAGACAGATTTCCACATGTAAGGCCAAGACCTCCGCAGTAGCTGAAATCATGTGCCCCACAAGATGGAAGCAGCTCCTACCACTCTCACCTCTGCCATCTCTTTAACTTTCTGCTCATAGAATTCCTGCTCTAGAAGCACCGGGGGGAGAAGCGAGAGCCGGTCGTAGGACCTCCAGTGCCGCCTCTTGTTCTCCAGGAAGAACATCCGCTTCTCAATTTTCACATCACCTAAAACAGTGTTAAAATACAATGAAATGGGATTGGGCAGCAAGAGCAAAGCTTAATCCCTGCCTCCTCTCTGCATTACCAGCTACATAACTTCAGCATTGCAGGCAGCATTGCACCAAGCAGATGCACTGGTGAAGAGCATTTCCAAAGCAGGTTCTAGCCAGTGACAGACACACAGATGGGTACAAGAGCCCTCTGCCAACAGCAGCACTGTCTGCAGCAATCCAGCTCTGCTTGCAGTATCCATACAGAGAGCATCACATATTGGTATTTACCTTGCTCAAATTTGAAATCTATATATGAAAATTGATTCATTTCTTTCCTCTTTTTTCTTTTCCCACTGGTTTCTGGAGACAGCTCCTGCCATTTCTTGATGGCATCAGAAAAGGCCTAGAAAACAACACACAGGCATAAATCCTTTCTGCTCTCTGGAAGGAAGCAGAGACAAACACATTAAATTAAAGCACTGCATGAAAGCTCGTGCGTAAGAACCATTTAGAAGCAGGACAACTAGATAACCTATAAAGGCAGGTCTATCTCTCTACCCTTTATCCATCTTGTTGTGTTATGAATTTATAACGATCACAAACAAAAGAACCACCTGTTGTTCAGGCAGAGTTGAATGATGCTTTGCAACAGCCCAGCTTATCTCTAACACAGCTGGCGTCCACTCTGATGCAACAGAGCTCGATTTTTTTAAAGCTTTTTTTCTGATGGTTTAGAGCTAGAACCACCTGGTTTTGCTCAATTCAATTACTCAACACTCAATCACTCGAAAGAAAAACATCACCTTGCCCCTTGTTTGTTTTTGCCTTTTGAAAGTTAAGTCTTGGAAAGACACTTAAGCAAGAGAGCGTATCAGAAGAATAGCTCCAGGTCGACAACTTGAGACCGCGTTCACGTTTAGCTTGTTGATACTTGAGAACATGTTTCTGCACAGCTCCATTCCGTTGACATTCTTTTACAAGGAATATATGCTTCATTTTGAAAACCATAAAAATGAGAAGGCCAGCGAGAGACTCTGGCTCCTCTTCAAATGTGGAGTCATTTAGAAATGAATGACAGCAGTTAGATGTCTTAAAAGTTGGCTAGTTTAAACAGTATTAGCAATTATATCCCCTTCAGCATAGGGGGCATTATAGCAGCGTTACTCAGTTTAATGTATGGCCACCATCAACTAGCTAGTGCCTCTAAATTTCCTAGGCCAAAGCACAAGAACAGAGTGCAGGTCTCTTGACTAAATGGACATCAAACACTCTTTGAAAGGAAAGGCAGATCATAAAAACACAACCACACACAAGCAGATGGTGCCCTAAGGCAAAAGACATCACACCACTCGCCTCCATAGGGGAGGGGAGATGACCCTAGTAAGAAGATTTAAATGAAGAACCTTCCGTGTGATTGCATAGTGTCCTTTGAGTTCATGTAGTGCCCACTTAATGTCCTGGCTGCTCAGCATTTTGAAGTCTGCCATAAGGAGGTCAGCTGCTTGAATGAAGCACCGCTGATCAAGTGGAGCAAGTTTGGAAAAATCAAAGTAGTCCACTTTAGGCACCTGAGGGGAAGAATGCAAGAGACAACTGAGAATATTAAAAGGCTTCTACAGATATATAAGAGCATCCCGAACAACGCATCTTTCAGTCAGGAACTTCTGCCGGGCCACACAACTCATTTTCCATTTTTCCAACCTTGTCCTGAGCATGGTATGACACATGAAGCTAACTGGTACACACACTCGTGCAGGGAGCCTGCCCCGAGCTGCACCACCTCATCAATAGCTTCACAGGCTTAAATCTGAGGGATACTTCTCAGAGCAGAAAGGGGTATTCAGTACCCCCATCTCCCAAGTCACATAAGCTTTCTTCAAGTAAATCGAAATAGTTGTATCTGGGAGAAAAATCTTTGTCAAAGAGATTAGGAAAACAGGGGGAAAAATACCAAGAAACTTCAGGGAGAGCCTCAGTTAGAAAGTTAAAAGGCAATAACTAGATGTCATGCAAGAGACTAGATGGCCAAGTGTACTTCATGCAGCACAGGGACCAAAGAGTTCTTAGATCAGTGACCAAAACGAACAAGCCAGATGAGAGGTAGCCAAAAAGCAGGCAGGGTGCAGGGGAAAAAAGCAGAAAAGGCAAACCTGTACAGTAGCAAGACATGAGCCTCTTGAAACCATCTTACAAGCAACTATTGTTATTTAACAGCAGTTTAACTGCACCCAGAGGCCAGCTCTAAGAGCACAGCGCAGTCAGGCGTGCCACAAATATGCACTAATAGAGCAAGGCAACCCACGCCGAGCTCGGGTCGAACACGGTCCCGGGAGGCGCGCGAGGAGGAGGCTCTCACTTGCCTTGGTCTCATCTTGGCTGGCAAGCAGGCTGGTGCTGGGATTTACAACCACTCTGCCTTCCTCCTTTGGGTAATCGGGATTTTCCAGGAGAAAGTTGCAAAGTCTGAAAAGATAAATGTAGTTACTTAAGGATCTGGGAGCTCAGGTTCATTCCTCATTAAGTTTTCAGTATTCACCAACCCAGGGGCTGGGCAGGCAAGATATGATGTATTCTATGAGATCAAGAAAGGTCTCAGGCCAGAGCAAACTGAAGCCAGAGGACTCAGAATTAAGACTGACCTGCTGTATGACAGTAACAAAAAGGAAAGCAAATACATTTGTCTTTCAACGGCTGCACTTATATAACAGAAGTTTGCATGCAGCTCTCACGCCAGTGGGAAAACAGGTTCACTTCTAACGTCAGCCCGCGCAGAGGAACACTTCCCTTGCAGTCAGGCAAGATTTGACTTGTCCTCAAGTCAAAGCGCACCAGCTTTCTGCTACTCTGGAATTAATGTTATGAAGACCATATAAGAGAGAACCGCCAGAGCACAGCAGCTTTGAACTCGAACCCAGCTGACAAACGCACCCTTGGAAGAATAAGCTTAAAACCTCCTGCAAATTCTGTGAAAGGATGATGTGTTCCTGCATGTGTTATGAGAAACCCCAAAAGAGAATGCACCCAAGGACATATTTTTGCTGTTGTTGCTGGTACATTTTGAGAAAACACAGACGAAACAGCAGGTGTTACTGGGACATCAGGAGAGAATACGGACAAAACAGCAAACACTGGTTGAAGACGAAGATAAGGACCACCGTATCTCCAAGGAACGGTCTGAAACTGGGCAGTAGGACCAAAACAGGGCCTCTCAGCCAGAACGGGGCCATATATGGAAGAGAGTTACTAGACATCAGGGAATGGACACGGAAAGATGACCACGAAGGGTCTCAAAAGACCACCAGAGACCCCCAAAGGGACAGAGCACGCGGCGAGGGTGGGCTATATTGTAATTAGTTCCCAAAGGGACAGAGGGTGGGCTATATTGTAATTAGTTCCAGGAAATACAATGAATATGTATGATCTCATTTCTAGATTAATGCATATGTAGATAACAAATAAATAAAAGCTCTAGCAAACACACCTTAGGGCATGCACGATAAGTGGAGCTGCCCCCTGTGAACCCAGCGCTGCAATAAAGTGAGTGCCGGCTGCTTAATAATACTACATTGGTGTTAAGAGGTTTGTTCCTGGTTTTTGGTGATACACGGATTACAGATTCCAATTTTAATCAAGTTCCAGTCTCCATCTATTTTCACAATAAAGCTGAGACAAAAACACGTTTAACCTGGGCTTACGTAAGGTATGTACTGAGCACAGGTTTATGTAATAAGGCTTGAAATCAGACAGGCATTATCCAGCTCACCCTAGGAACTGCTCTCACCGGAACGATATTTAAAAATAATCATCAAGTTGGAAAATTACATGCTTACTACCCTCTAAATCCAGGACGGCTAAGGTTCAATCACACAAAAAACATTTTGTCAGTTAGGTTTAGCTTTACAGAGTGTTTCAGCATGCAGGAGACAAGTAGTTGAAGGAAATGGTGCCTTGCCAGGGCTCTACAGATCCTTCAGAAGCCCCTTTGAAGGGGAAAGGCTGTTGCAGCCTGTTTGAATCAGACTTTCACAGCTTATTCTCAGCTCTGTCACCAACCAGCTGTGCTAGTTGGGTCAAGTCACAAACTGTTCCTCAGTTTCCCCAGCTGAGCATAAAACCTTTCTGAAAGGGGCTATGAGGAGCAATTAACATTTGTAAAACTTTTTGAATGAAAAGGTGCTAGAGGGAGCACAGACATAATTGCTGCTAATTTACATTCCTGATGTCAGAAATCAGTCCTTAATTAAGAAATCTGAACTGCCTTGAAGCATTAACCCACTATCACGGCACAATTGCTTTAGCCCTGCTTTTACATTCAAAGCAGAGGCATTTCTTTTTGTTTAATCAGGTATTGACATATTGAACCAGAAGCTTTTGACTGAATGCGAATGCTTCTGCACACAAAAGCTGAATAGATGATACCCTGCTAAGAAGGGTTCTCACATCTTATCCTTCACATCAGTGGAAAGTTTTAAGACAACCATTTCTGAAAACAACAAAATATCTCCGAGCATTTAATAGCATCCAGCCTTTCCCCCCTCCCTTTTGTAAAGGGTAACTGTTCTAATCCAGCAAAACCAGGACTTCAAGGACCGCAAGTCACTGAAGCTCAAACAAGGGTTTCAGCTGTGGCACAGCCAGGATGCACTGAACTCTTCTGCCAGTCGCCGTGTAGCTGCTCAGGATTTGCAGAGATGTCAACCTTCAGGATGTCTGAAATCAGTTAAGTGTGTCCCGGGGTGCAGCACCCAGCATTAATATCTGCACCCCAGGACATGGAGGCAGCTAAAAGCCGCATCCCTGTCCAAGCCCAACCAGCCTTATTAATTATATTTCAAGCCTGATTCAGCTTGACGTACCACGGGCATCAGAGAGATCCTGCCAGCGAGGCTGACCAGTGCTTTGACCCATTTGTTCCCATACAAAAGATGCAGTGACAACTCAGATGATAGTTTGGTTAAAGAAGGAAAAATATAGGGAAGAAACCTCTGTCACCCAGTATGTGTGTAACGCACCACTGAGCAGACACTGTAGATAGCCTGGGGGAAGTCTCTAAGTGTCTTTTCATCCCACTGGTTCTGTGCTGCACAATAGAAAGGATTTCAGGAGCAAGAAAGGAAGGAACACATTAAGGCTGATAGAGGCAGATACTGGGATTTAATTCTTTCAGGCTTTGCCAGATCCGCCCGGAATACTCTAATGAGTTTCTTCCACACCATCTGTGAGGGATCCTGCAGCTGGATGCCCATCTGTAATGGCCCAGCCACCCTGAGGAACAGCCTAGGGCTCCAGCAGCCTTCCACAACCCCAAATAAACATCCAGTCCCCCGTGCATCAAGCACACAGCACCAGCATCCAAAAGACCCTCACGTTAAACAGGCCAGCGCTGCAGGGAATGCACATTTGGAAGGAAGAAATTTAAATCTTATACATTTCTAACCAACAAACCCTGCTCTGAAGACATGACTTTGCAACATAGACATCAGACAGCAAGCCCCAATGGATGGGCTCACCCTTAGTTCCCTGCCAGTTAACTAATTTATGGTGCAATAAATAACTGTAAGCCTTACATACTGCAATACTGCTTAATTAGTGCCCTGATAATTGCCAAAGGCATCAGATTGCTACACATTAGAGTGAATTCTCTAATAACCTACACTATTCTTCATTCTCATATCACACAACTAGTTTCAACATGTTTCAGACAGCAGCAACAGCTGCAGAGAGCACAGAGTTTTCAGGTAACTCCCTCCCCAGCTGGTCCCTTCTAACACCAGACAAGTCAAGAGTATTTTTAGGTAACTCCCTCCCCAGCTGGTCCCTTTGCAAATGTGCAAACTTTATCCAAAAGGGTAGGAAGTAGACAGAACTTAACAAGGTAAAGTTAAAGGCTGAATTATTTTTTGTTTCTAACATGATTCACAGAGATATCAAATACAATTGCTAACACTGGGGGCTTCTCAAGCTGTCAGCACAGCTGGAAAAGTGACAGTTCTTAAACTTTCCTCTATTGCTTACTTTCCTTCCAGCTCACACTTCTGCTCAAACCAGTGCACTGGCAGCTATCTAGACCCATGAATCCAGAATCTCCTGAAATGTTTGCTCTCTTCTATCTGCAAAGAGTGACTTGAAAGAAAAGCCAACAGTACCATTGCTACTTGATTAAGCAGAGGATGGAGAAAAAAATCATCATGCACCCAATTTTATAAAAAAGTCACCTCAATATCTTATCCTATGGAATCTAGCAATAGTTAGCAGAAATTTTAAGTGACATTCTTAAATAACCAAATAATCAGAGCACTTACCAGTGACCTTAACAAAAGCAGAGAAACTGAAGCTTCTCTTCTTTTTCATCACTGAAGTGATGGCAGAACTACAAAGCCAAAGAACTAAGTGTTGCTTTATGCTGTGGATGAATGAGGAGTGATGCACTTCACCCATGAGAAAGCAGCAGCAATTATGTTTTATTGAGGTAGGAGAGAGGAAGAACTTCATTAGAAGGGAAATATATATATATATATAGGCTCTTTGGCATTACCAAGGCAGCACTGACTCCCACCCTTCATATGCTGTGAAAGAGCAGCATTAGCAAGAGGAGGGCTGAAGTGTGACCGTAGCCAGGCTGCTGTGGGACATGCTGTGGCCCTCAGCTCTATACTTACACATTTAAGTCATAGCAGTTCCTGATGCTGATTAGCTCTTCAATATATTCCTTCTTCACGTCAGGGAATCTTGCTTCCTATAGTAGGAAAAGCTAAAGGTTATGTAGGTATTAGAAGAGCTGTGCTATAGCACCAAAGGCAGAAGTTTATATAATTATCGAGTCAGTCCCTGAGACAGAGGCCAGAAAGGGCTTCAAGAGACCAGGTACATCCAGTCACCCTGGACACTCAATCCACTGGCTTTCCTTTCCTCCACAAAAGGACTAACAGCTCCTTCTTACAAGGAGCATAAGCAGCTGGCTTGAAAAACGGTGCAGGGTGCACAGAAAAAGGAGACATGAGCATGATCTACAGCACGAGCAGAGCTAATATTTACTTTCAGAGGACTAAGGAGTTTCAGATTGTCTGCTGAAAGACAACATTCCAAAGCAAAAAGGAGAAAAAAGATACATCCACCCATTCAAAGCAACCAGACACAGCGGTGATAAGGCCAGACAGAAACAAACCTTTCCTGGTATTTCTGTAAAAGCCTTTCCAGCACTGACCACATGGAAGGAGCAGCAAAGGGGTGCCCTCTGCTCCTTGGGTTTCTGTACAAATATTGCGGTTGTTTGTGCCAGGTGGTATTTTATTTTGCAAGACTGAACTGGTCAGGGTTATCGAGCAACTCTGGTAACATGAGAGTATCTATCTGTCCATCTTACCAGGGCTGGTCACTGGTCAGCAAGGTCTTACTCAAGAAGCACAGGATTTTGCTGGGCTGCTCTCTTGAGAACAAGAACAAGAGTGCTTTCTCAAGCTTGATTTTCACACATAGAATCAGATATGGGATGGGGAGGGATGACTTGAGGGGAGACACGGAACTTCACATTTGTTTAGGGAAAATTATACCTAAAAGCATCACGGAAAGACCTTTCCTGTCTAACAATCAACAAGAAGGGTGCTGGAGGAGAGGGGAGGAGGGCAGACATGTGAGGCATCACTACAGTACCTTACATAGGCCACAATACCCATGTTTGTGGATGTAAAAGGCAAAAGCACCTGCCTTAGGCATTCAGCAACTGTGGCTAGTGCCTCTCTGTGCAGCTTTGCACGCGCGGTTGGAAGCCCCCCGGCCTAGTGGGGTCTGGGAGCACGTGTGCATGGGGAAATCAAACCTGGCATTCGTCCTGCCTACCCCGTGTCCCCTCAGAGCTACTGCTTCGAGCTCCACACTGCAAGGGAAATCAGGAGCCCTGAACTAGGGGAGCTTTCACATGGCCACAGTGCAGCCTGTTGTGGCTGGCAGAGCCAGCTGAAGGTGGTCACGGCTCCCAGCAATGTGTCCCTAAGCTTTCTCTATCCCTTTACCTCCACCTGCATTTAGTGTCTCATTTTTAGCTATTTAGTTCTAAACCAGCTGTACAAACTTGCGTAAGAGATCAGCCAGACAAAAAAACATACATACAGAGTTGGGAGGGAAGTAACCTTTAAGGGAACAGATCTGCAAACAAGTCATTAAGAGCACACTCGTGTTATTTGCCTCACTCTGCCTTTGAAACCATACAATGAATGATGCTGAATTCTGTAGACCCATATCCAGCCCCAAGCCAAATGGTGCCCTCCAAGTTCACCTTCTCTCCTCACTTCTGCCACAGGACAGGCTAGTCCTTCAAACCAAGCTTGTCCCAGAAGTTCATTACTTGCTCTTCACCTTGCACCCATGGGACACTTGGCTGAGTGTAGAGTGTCGACAGGAGCTGTGCTTTGAGCTCACGAAACGCTACATACCTTGAAAAAAATATTTTAAAAATGTGTACACAGAAGGCCAGCAAGCACGGGGGAACACTTACGGTCTCTCTGATGAGCAGTGCAGTGAGGTCTTGTTCCTGCCCAGCAGCTCCTTGTTCCGGCACGTTACCAGAGCCAAGTTCATGTGAGCCCTGTCCGGGGAAGGCCGGACCCGGCTGCTCGTTGTCCATTGCTGCCTCCTGACCTCCCGCTTCTTCTGGCGGATGAGCCGGCTGGGGCGAAGCAGGACCTGGAACCCCATCTTGCTGCGGCTCAGGTCTCGGGAACGCCGGCTCCGGAGCCTCCTCTCCATAGGCCTGCAGAGAGGCCGGGGCCGCTCCAGGCTGCCCTTGCGCAGGGGCACAGCTGTTTGCTGCAGCCCCCGGCTCGCTTTCCGATGGCTGGACACAGGGGCGATCCAACCGGTTGTCCTCTGGGATCACCTGCCCCTGTGTGGGGGTTTCAGCAGCTCCTCTGAGGTTCTGCACGGCCTCTGGCTCCAGGTCCTCTCCTTGCCAACCCTCGGCTCCCACCTTTTCCTCCGCTTGTGGTGGGAAGTCTGCTTTCTCCACATTAATGACACCCCTGTCAGGAGGCTGCAGATCTGTTTTTTTTGCTGAAAAAGAATTTGGTCCAGGCTCCTGGTTGCTCTTAATTTCAAATCTGGGGCCATTAGGCTCAGAGGGTCCAGGCTGCTGCAAGACAAGGTTCATATTCTCATCCCTGCTTCCTCCAGCACTGTTCTCCACCACACAACTATCCCGATCTCTCTGGCACAGCGGAGCTGAGATCTCATCTTGCAGATATACGTTCCTCAAGGGCCCTACAGCACCTTTAGATTCTCCTTCTCCCACAGCGTTCACACTCTGCCACTGAGCAGCAGGTCTGATGACATTAGGGCGCAGAAGCTGCTGGTGCTTTGGGGTCTGAAAATAAGACAGACAAGAGTAAGCAGAGGGAGCTCCTTTCTGCATATCAGATTCCTTGCTCCAAATGATCTTTTGATCATCTCAAACTTCTGATGGGAAATAGATGAAAAGTGCACTGAGCACCAGTCATAAACCTGCACTCTATACATCTTTATGTCATTGAATCCTCATCAGTTTTACTTCATCCTTTACTTCACTCCAAGTGTTAACAGTAGAGAATATTTGGCAAACTGAGGATGCACAGGACTTTCAGCCTGGAATTCTGAGCTTTTCCCAACCTCCACTCCCAGTAAAATGCTCTGGGAAGTAGGAACTAGCTGACAGCACATTTGCAGCTCATCAATACATTTAAACAGGTAGCAGGAACCTAAGCTCAAAGTGGTAATCTCTGGACACCTTCCTGCTGCTGGCAGGCTGGCTTCTGTAGACAAATAGGTTGTGAAAAGTCTCTGCTACTTTTCTTTTAAAAGGAAAAAAGAAACAAAGACTTCAAAACTCATCTTCTCAATGCCTCTTGTTACTTTAATGAAAACTTCAAATATACTCTTAATACTGCTTAAATGTGAAATTAGATAGCAGCAATCACCAAGGTAAGCAGAAACACCCTGCCCACCCGTGTGACCGTCTGCTGGCAGAAAGAGTTTGTCAAGGGGGGTGGCTTTGTAAAGCAACAGCAATTCAAGCGTCTGCAACACCTCCAAAACCCAAGCAGAATAGTGGAACATAAAGGATATGGGTTTAGGCAAAGTTTGTTTCAAGACACATTTTTGATGTTCTATAAAATGTGTATTTGTTTAGAATCTTTCAGCTTCTTGCAGTCACTTCAACTTAATAGTTTCTACCATGAACAGTTTGGAAAGTGCCAGAGCTACCTCTGAAGTTCTAATTCTGGTGAAAAGATGTAATTTAAAGAATCAGATTTTCTACTGTGGGAGGTTGAACACACTTAGGACATGGCTACAGGCCACTATGCAGTAAACCAGAATTAAGAACTAGCAGCGCAACAGCCGCTCTGTTGCAAATGCCCACGTGAAAGTGGAATGCAGGAGAAGACAGTTGCTTTTCAACCTACTGCATCATACACCCAAAGAATGAGGGGCTAGACACCCACGCAAGACTGCTCGGGATCAGCATCGAGGACAAAAGTTTATTGCAAATAGCAGACAATAGATGTTTGCTACTAGTAGCCTTGTTAACTAGCGCAGCAGCTCAAGCAGGCTACAGGTCCTCTTGCAAAGTACTTCACCTTGCTGGGACAGCATAATTTTATGGAAGCTGCAGCCTTTGAGAGACATAAAATACAGTTTGCCAACCTAAGATTCCCCTGTCATACTCCAAACAGGGTTTGTTTTAGCCAGTTAATTGAACTCAAACCCAGCAAAACGCCATCACTTCAACATTCATTTCAGACATACCAAGTAAATAAACTCCTGTAACTGGATGTGACCCTGAAGAACATAGATAATAGTACAAAAACCTGCTATAAATGCCGCACAAAGCAGCAAATTGCACAAAAACTAAAGAATACCTCTGCCAAGATGACGACATCATCATCATCTTCCTCACGCTGTTGTTGGGCTGGCGCTTCCAGCAAAGGTAATTCTTCATCCGAGGAATCTGATATCGTGATAAGACCTTCGTCTCTGTGGTTAATCCAAAAAGCAGAGGAGGTTAAAAAAAAACAAAAAAACAGCGAAACATCTGAAAAAGTTACATTTGCATTTCAGCAACAGGGAAGTGCTCAAAGGTCCCTGGCTCCTCTCGTATTTGTGGGACAGCCACTCCCCTGTCCCTCAGCCCTCCGAGGGAAGGGTCTGCACAAGCTCTAGCTCAAGAAGCTACAACAGCATAGACATGAGGCAGGCATTCACTACTTAATATTGCACTACTTAATATTCTGCTATTCCAGAACTTGCAGGAGTCCACCTACTGCAAAAAAACAATTCCAATCAAGCCAGGTACAGAGCACCTACTAATTTTTGCAGAGAAGTCATGAACTTTGAGTATCTCAAGGCCTATACACTTTAATGCAATGTGGTGTAGCGGAGAGGCAAGGTCCCCAGTGCAATCTGGCCTCTTCTGAAAGGTGTGACCTTGCAGAAATACCTTATGCAAGACAGAGAGAGAGCCCCTGGCTGTGGGTGCAGCAGAGACCCTGTTATTTAGATGACAACCTTGTCTCTTATGGCTTGTCAAGAGGGAAATATAGATGTTAATGAACCAGACTTCTGGAACGCAGAAGTTCCAGACAGAAACTCGGGCCTTCTGTGCTGTAGAGACTCTATACACCCATGCTTTGTCTCTATGATTTTTGAAGTGCTTTGGTTTGTACTTTACTATGGTAAATCAACACACAACTGTATTGCTCGATAGGTTTAATGTGCACAGCTTTGGAGTATTTATTTAGCATCCTTCACCTGTATGGAGAGAGCATCCTGAACTCCATGGGGAAACGACCGCCAACACACACAGTCCTACTAGGATAGGGACTCCAAGGCTGCCTCTTCCTGAGGCTCTTAGGAGGCTCAACCAGAGCAGCTGGAATAGCTCTACGTGGCTTTGGCATGTCCAACAAGTTGCCTGTCTGCCTAAAGGCAACAGCAACAACAAAAAACCCAGGAGGGGAGGGCAAAATATTTCAAGTGTCCGTTTAGACTGACAGACTTCAACTACCCACAGAAAATCAGGCATAACCTTATCTTCCATTGGAGGGGTCAGAGATGCTTTGCAGCTCATTTCCAGCAAAATACTTCCAGAACTTTCAGCACTTTCCCATTAACACCACTTGCCAGTTTAATATTTAATCCTACATTAAGAGTTTATATGACAGTTTTGGAGTTACTCAGAGAGCAACACTCACCTTTCCCTCTGTGGCCAGGGAAACCGTGCAGGTGAATTACTTCTTCATTCCCACCTCTCTCTGCCATTTTAAACACTTGCAGCAGCAGCGTCAATGCCCAGACAGGGCAGTCAGGTCAGCAAGAGGAACTAGAACACAAAATGGAAAAAATCCATGGATTGAGCAACATCCTAATCAGGCTTTTCCACAACTCGGTCACTAGAACACCATGGGGATTCTTCTGACTTTCCTACCACATCCTCTCCAAGGCAATGTTTTTGCTAAAGAGCTTCTTAGAAAGACATATTTCAATTTTGTGTTCTGGCAGTCAGGCACAGCATGGTTGAAGAATGAAAATGGGCCTAAAAACCTTTTATGGAAAACAACATGACAATGCTCATAGCTCTGCAATGACAGAAAGGGAGGAGATGCCAAGGTTTTGCATCCTGGCTGGACAACGCGCTCCTGTAGATCCAAACTCTTCGTTTCCAAGAAGTCAAAACCCGATGCAGCAACCTGCAGAGTGCTGCTTCTGCCACCATCTACTGGCCAGAGCAGCACGAGCGAGGAGGACACTGCACAAGTGAGGAGGACACTGCACGAGCGGCACCTGGGGCTCGGTGTCATTCACAGCCTCCCTGCCCATGTGCACACAACATCAGGAAGCAGGTCCTGATGCTTCAAAGGGAAAGGCCAACGCTGCCACCGAGGTGCTCAGGCAGCAGTGAGACCAGCAAGAAACTGAGCTATAAAAACAAGTTACTCCGTGCAGAGGGGGTTTTAACAAACCCTGAATTCCCACTGAGAGCACTCGGAGGGCTCCGAGCAGCTTCGCAGCTTCCCGGGATGTTGACGCTACTGAAGGCCCCAAGCGTGTGTCACTGCTCCCGCCACGCTCACGGCTGAAGTCCCTTTTACAGAACAGACTTCTCTGCCTTCAGCTGCTGCTTCAAAGATGAGATCCACCCCCCGACTTACGAGACATTCCCCCTTTGATGAGGGTTGGGTATAAACTCCCAGATAGGCCACCTGCTCCGGAACGGAAAAGGCGGCACTACAGGGATCAAGCTCCTCCACAGGACAGAGCTTTTGGGACTTAACATTTTCGGCCACCACCTGTTTCTGGGCAGGCACCAAGTGCTGGCTGGAGGCTCCACAGCGGGATTAGGAGATCAGAGGAATCCCTGCAGCCCGCACGGTGTTCCCATTTTCTGCTCCATCAGCCTGGAGCTCCCTGCCCACCCTCGTGCACATCCATGAGGCCTGAGCACAGTCGGATCACTGGAACAAGGCTGCCTTTTTATAGGGAAGTGCTGGGCTCATTACTGGAGCACTGCTGTCTGCGTTATGAAATATTCACTGCTGTATAAGTCAGGAGGAAGTGGCAAGTCTGCCATAAAATCCTGTTAGCTAGTCCAGAAGAGCAGCACAAATTCCTCCTCGGTAATTCTACGTAACCTCCTCCGCAGGGAACAGGATTTGCAGTCTGCAGAGCAAGATTTAAATAAATAAATAAAGAATCAATTTAAAAGCAGAGTAGCTACATACCCAACATCAGGAACTAGTCATCACTACCATCTTCAAAACAGTTTAATGCAAGATAAAGTACAGGTGTAGAATCTAAAATATACAAAAAAGCCAAAGCCAAACCAAAACCACACTCTGCCTGTCAACACTGGCATCCTCGACAGCTTCCAGATAGGAAAACATCCCTGTTCCGCAGAGCCGGGACCGGGACGAGCGAGCCAGGGCTTTCCCATCTGTGGGGCAGGACACTCGCTGAGCGCCTGGAAAAGTCTCTTCAACCACCATTTCTATAAATGTGCCACTGTCCCTACACAAGCCCTGAAACTTCAGAACACCCGGTATCCAGGATGCACCCCTAGGATATCACAGGAATATTGTTGCTTTTTAGTATCCGTGTGCTTCTCAGTGGCCACACTTCAGGGAGACGCTTAGACTGTTTCTACCAGGTTCCTCAGTTCCTCAATTTCCTTACAATCAAGGGGAAAAAATAAATAAACAAAGAAATAAATCACTCTTCCTCTGGATACACCTGGTTTGCAGGAATGGTAGGGAAGCACCGGTCTCTTGTTGCAGGCAGGCAGCTCGGTGGCTGCTCAGCAGCTGGGTAATTACAAGCAGAGCTAGTGAGAATGTTGCCCTTTTTACAGGTCACCTCCCTATTAGCATCATTCCATTTCCCTGGTACTTGTGCAGAGCTCTCGCCCGGTCCTTTCACCCAGAGTCCTCCAAGCGCTGTAGAAAATAGGATCAATGTTGTTCTTGCTATTCAGAAAAGGGAAAAGTGGAAGCACGGGAGGGAGCAGCTCCCAGGGCATGGAGCAAAGCCAGGAAGAGAGCCCAGGCTCCTGCAGATCCGGGCAGGTGGATCCATGCCAAGCACTTCTTGTTTGGTGCTTTGCCCAAGGCCAAAGAAACCAGTGCTGTCCAAATCCACAGCGGTAAGACTGCTATAAAGCCAGGGTTCTCCAGGGGCAAACCTGGTTCATCTGGAAAGGGACTTGTACAACCTCCACCTTGAACACCAAGAAAAGGGGCAGGAAATAAACTGAAGAGAAATTTGAGAGCAGACGGTCTGCCCCCGTGTAGAAGAAAGAGATGCATGTACATCAACACAAGACTCGCGATGGTTTAAGCGCAGAAATGTAATAAATAGCACTTTAACTGTAATAAAAGGCAAGGCAACATAAAAAAATAAAAGCCAAACCTGGAAGAAACCGGCAGCGTAACCACTCCTCTTTCAAAGCACATTGCATTAAAAACAAAACGAAGCTGCTATAAAGCACTGCTCACAGGGTAAAAGTCAAGCCTTCACAGAGCTGGTAATTCATTTTGTCACTCCTCAATGGGGAATTCACATTAAACAAATATCTATAAGCACAGGCCAGTTCCATCTAGTGGCATGAATCAGGAATTTATTCATGTTTATTACACCGGGCCGCAAAGAACGTGCGGTAACAAGATCAAAGCTGCCCTAGGGTCCTGCCCTACATAAACAGCATAATAAAAACCAAAGCAGGTGGAAAGGAGCTACCCCACTTCACACCACCTCAGTGATGCTATTTACAGTTAAAAATAAGGCTACCTATAACTAAGCTCCCACACTGCTATCACCTTCTTTGCAATACAGCCAAGTGTTGGATACAGACAAGAACCAGGGCTTTTTTCTCCCCCCTTTTAAGAAAAGGGGATCTCAGAGCATTCAGACACACGCTTGGCAAGCAGTTCTACCCCCAGTTCAGCACATCCAATGGGATTTGGGACTTGAATCTCTATAGGGTAACAGGATCATGCAGAATTCTCAGCCTGACTTTGAAGCCAGCTGCTGACAGCAAAGAACACTGCAGAAGATGGGATTCTACTAAATTTCCCCTCCATTTTTCACATTACTTCGTATATTCATGATTTACGCATCCAAGTCATTTCACCGCACAGGCAATAAAATACTTTGTGGCAGGTGTCTCTTACAGCAGGCTGAGGAGAAAAACCCATTAACAGAATAGTTATTGTGGGGAAAAAAATCATGGACCATCAAGGACTTGTGTAACTGTTCTCTGAACTTACCCGATCCCAGGCCGACTGACAGTGCAGGGTGCAGGTTTCCCAGCAAAGTTCTTGCACAAAGTCTATCCTACAAAGTCACTGGCCCCAATAGCTACTACGAGGTGAAGAATGTGCCACTAATAGCTCACGTGGGTATCTCGGTTGCAGAGATCGCTTAGAAACAAAAATTTCTGAAACAGGTTCAAAAATCCCTAAATATCACACTGCATATTTTTAGTCCAGTCTAAAAATAGCCAGTGTCTGTACTGTGCATATATTTAAACTCCGGGTATATGCAGGACTTTCTTTGTTGCAGTAATTGGAGCAGAACTCAAATGCCCTCCCTCTACTTTACATTTGTGTCAGAACGAATCTTTGCATGACACTAGAAATTAAAGGGACTGCCTAGGAGACTTCCCTCCAAGGGATTTCAATGTATTTTTTCCTACTTATTTGAAATCTTGGACTCCCAAGTACCCAAAACGGGACTAGGCACCAAAGGGCTCTCTCTAGCTACAGCTCAAAGCAGGAGGACTAAAGGAAAAGCACCACTGGGAAGGTAAGAGAATAAAATCCCAACCAAAATGCAGCGGAGGGAAGACAGCAGCTCAAGCTGTGTCAATGACACCAAATCGTGGCACATTTTAGTATCTTCCCCCCTACATCAACAGCACTGCTGCTCACCTACATTGACAGAAGAGCTTCAGTCCTCACCTCCTGCCTGCAGGCACTTAGCTTGTCTGCTGGTAAGCTGAGAGCAAGGTAAATTTTGGGCTGGTTTCAAAGCGCTAAAATAAAGAGAAGCTACTTAAATAATGCATGGTTTGTGACAACTAGCGACATGAGAAGCAAAAAACACAGCTCTTAAAAAAGAGAGCCAGGGAAATCAAATAAACCAGCCTCATTGTCAAGCATCACAGAGATTTCGTGAGAGGGCTCATGATTTGCTGGGGGCTGCTGCGTGTGACAGCCATGAGCAAAGCAGAGCCAGCTCCAGAGCTGCCGATTGCACCAAGCAGCAGCATCCCCGGGGAAAATTAGGAATCCCCTCATCACAAGCCCAATGAGTAACGCGGTTGTGCAAACCAGCCCCATCCGCTACGCACGAGGCAGCTCCCTCCTCCACGGCTCTACACCCTGCAGAAAGCAAAGCCGGGGGTTACATTGTGTTTCCTGCAAGAGCTTCCATGAACAGGCTGCTGCAGAGGCCTCCTAACCACCTAAGCTAAGGGAGGAAGCCACCCCAAAAGGAAAACATCACCCCAGAGCCTTGTCCCCGTTCTCCAAGGGATGGGACGTGCAGGCAGGATGTCCCCAACGCTCCTCTGCTCTCTCCCGAGGAGCACGGAGAGGCTCGGGATCGCTGTGGCCACGCAGCTCGGTCCACACGTTTCAGGCCCATCACATTTGCACATTACTGCACAACACAGCAGAAGAGCATTTAATACCAGGAGGCGCTTGTAACTTTTAAGGCATTTCCTAAGCATTTAACAGTGTGTCAGCAGCGATCAGCTTAGGTTAACAAAGGATTTTAAGACAGACAAGTGAGCCTCAGGAGGGGAGCAGGATCCATGATCT